ATTTACGAAATCTCAATGTATGCAGTCGTTGCTACCGCTACAAAAAAAACATTACAACTGCGTCACTTGTAAGCACCGAAACGTAACAATTATATCAATGATAATCAGTCAGAAGCAACTAGGGGCGTGTTGAAGTAATGTGATTATAATTAAAACTGCGCTTTGGCTGCGCTCGAGCATGGGCCTGTCCTGCGCCTGCCACCCGCAGGTTATTTATCTCATAGTGCGACCAACACTTAATTGAGTTACGCATTACATACGCACATTTACGTCTTTGTTATGATTCATGTTTGTATTCCGTATATTCAATGTAGAAATCCGTATGCTCGAGAATCAAAAAGAAAGGACATGAATTTACGATGGAATGGACCACCAGTGACAGATTATTATATATATATTGTTATAAAATAGAAGATATTTCAAAACGTTTAAGTGTATTGGTGTTGCGATTTAGTAGCATTAGAACTCCTAGCGAAAGAGTTCGTCCAGCGAAGTACGGCATTCCAGTTTGGATGTGGAAGGGTGCTGGTTAATGGAAATTACAGGCACATGGGACTTGTCAACTTATGTCTCTGGGTGACGGGCGCAGTAGTAGTACCCCTATGATCTTTACGATTTAAAACTCTGAGTGATACTGCAACGTTTTGGACGGGCGTGTCACTTGGTATTATAAAAAAGATGCTGCTTTATCTTTTTTGTTTATAAATAGTAACATAACAAAACGCAGAACGAGATTAACGTCAGTGAAGACGACTTTGAAACATTTTAAACAGCAAACTGGAGTAGTCAAGCCTCGAACCCGGGATTTTCAATTAAAAACCAACAATCGAATTGCGACCAGGTGTACAAATTAGTAAAGCATTCGAAAATTTTTTTGCACACATGCCAATGTCGAGTAATAAGTCATTCAATTCGTCTTGTAGGTACAGAGCCACAAATAAATCAATTACCGAAATAGCTTATATCTGCAGAATACATGATCGAAAAAATCGACAACTTTCGAGACGACGAAACCACTATATTCTATCTATATTGTATTTTTAAATAAAGTCATAAGTGCCGAGGCTGTAGGCCGATGTCCAGCGGAGGGCGAAGACCGAAGCGTCCGCACGCTACCACGTAGCATACCATAGATTTATATACTAAATCTATGTAGCACCCAGGCTTTACGAGTACAAGATCTCACAACTGTTCAAAACACAAGGCATACTTCCCGATGTAGTGGAAATGAAGTACTTATAGCGTTGTTGTACCTCAACCGTCTCTCTGTTAGGTTCCTTTTTGTTGTAAGCTATGCCAAAGAGAAGTATTTAGAAAAAAATGCCAGACAATCACACCAAATTTCTGGTCTTAAATTAGAGAATTTCCTGGACTATGAGTACCAGAATAACGATAACTCTGAGCAGAGAATAAAGAATAAGAGAACGGACACTGTCCGCCTCTCCCTAGTTTTAGATACCGCACATTGCCGGTCACATTGACTGAACGACAACAAGGCTGCCGGCGAGCCGTTTTCGCGCGAAGACGGCTTTGATATTTGAATATAGTTTTCATTTATTCATTACGAAACTTGTACGTTAATACAAAATATCATTAACCGGCTTCAAAAAAGGAGGAGGTTCTCAATTCGACTGTGTTCTTTTTTTTGTATGTATATTACGCGATAACTCCGGTATTTGTGAACCGATTTTCATGATTCACTTTTTGTTGGAAAGGGGGTACTTCCATAGTGGTCGCATTTCATTTTGAAGAAAATCATCCACCTCGAAGGGTGACTGTTCACGCATGAAGATTCATTTTTATAAATAGCGCCTAACTTTCATTTAGAAGCAATTACTTTAATGGTTGATTTTGCTATTTTTCCAATTCAAGGCGTTTTTCACTCAATATACTTTGAGTAGTGTCATAGTGAGAACCTATTTTTATTATTCCAGTTTCAAGTCCTGTATAGTGGCGAACTAGGGGTTATTTCAATAAAACTTAGCAAATAGACATAATTCCACGTACTTTTGAGGTCGGTTTTTTTAGTACTCTGTACTGAGATTATTATTTTACGTTACTATTTATAATGTTCGTGAATTGTGCTGTGTCCGTACACATAAACATAAACAGCCGTCTGTTTATCATCATTTTCCGAAAGATGAAACGAAGTAAGTAAAAAAACCTATGTCTTAGACTCATTCAGTTATTGTTTTCTTCATTTACTTACTGCAGAGTAATACATGTGTGTATAAAAATACCGATCGTATTGCCGATAAATATAACGTAGGTAGTGAATATATCTATTATTAACTAAACTTGGACTAGCAATTTCAAATACCTTGGTTACCTTACTTAAAAATAAATGTCCGAAATATAACATTATAAGTGCTTTTCATATATTTTTGAAATAAATCTTCAATATTACTCTAGTCAGTGAATTAATGAAAAATATAATAATATATCGATATAAATACCTAATAGACATGTATGATTATTAGGATTATATTAATAGAATCATAGATACCAGATTCGCGTTAGAATTTTCGCTATGTTGCCGCTCTGATCACGTAACGCAATAGTGCGATAAAGTGATGGGTAACCCTGCCACTTCACGCAATAAAATACCGATAAGCAGGCTTCGCCTCCACTAATTCCGAGTCACCTATAAACCTCTTGGCACGGTTGTCAATTGAATCCAAAGTGGCCAGTTGGTATGTAGCAGAGCCATTCCAAAGGTGGCAGCAGTACTCCAAGTACGACCGGACTTGCGCTTGGTACGCCTCACCCTGGAAAGGATGCCAAGCTTCTTTGCTTCATTTTGTGAGGAGCACGCAAATTAAAAAGTGAATTTAGTGATAGCAATGCCCAGGGGATTGCAGCGAGACGACGCCGACGACGCGACGCGTGCCTGACGATTGCCCAGCAACAATGAAAAAAAAAATTCAACACATGACGAAAAAGAAAAATAACCAAAAAAAAAAGTGTAATCTGCACCTTATTACAAGTAGAATATGTAAAAAAAAATACATCTATATTGTCAATGATAATATTTAACTTACGATAAACGTATACGTAGGTATAACACAAGTAGCTTTATAAAATCATCGATAAGAGAAAACGAAATGTTGTCAATTCGCGGTAATTGCTCCAGATTATCCAATGAGCGTGGTCGTCAGCCAGCCATCGCGAGTGATCCTCGACTATCGGTCTGTGTCTTTGATTTCACTGATACCCATTTACTTCATTTAAGGTTAATTACATATAGCGCGTGTTGAAAAATACAAGTAGATGTAGGCAAAACAATTAGGCACGTGAAATATACGAAGGCGTCCAATTTTTTTAAAAATTTCAAATTGTTCAATTTACCTGTAGACTGTAAAGTGTAACCACAGTGCAAAGAGATTTGCCGAATAAACTTCTATGTAATACATTGATATATATTATATACTCGTATGTAGAACGACTTGCAAAAGTGCATAGATATTCTGAGTAGAGTAAGTATCAATTTTTACTATCTATAACGGATACTAAATTGTTTGCAAGGCAATGGAAATTAATGCGTTTCGCCACAAGTCGAGCAAACATTTTATAAATGGGTGAATATCTCATGCGTAAATTTTGCGAGTCCAGGCTGAGAAACCAGGTGTAAAGTGAATAAATATTAATGATTTATTTTTTATAGTTTAATTAGACGTAAAATGAGTTTAGGGCAAGAATTTCAAAAAATTCATTGCACAATAATAATTAATAAAAAGTATTAATGTCCCGAAATTCAATTTTGCTGGTGTGTCCACTTTCTTTTTCATTGTATAAAATAGTCGTTCTGGTAAAATGTGTATGCTTTTAAGAAAAACAATTTCATGTATGTTATTCACTATTAGAAGCACTAACTAAAATCATTGAAAGTATTGCAATTGCCAGTATGTGGAAGACTGGGTACTTGATCAAACTTTGTCCACGCGAAAATTGTAGTTTTGGTGGCAAATATTCAACTGGTTGCAACTGGTAAGTAGTTTAACTAAAAACTATTACGTTTTTGCTCCGTACAAGCCTCAGTCGTGTATTAGGCCCTGACAGCGAAAAACATGGGCACTGTGTTCTATTTCCCGCCAAAAAAGTAATTATATGCCCTTTGTAAGTGGGACAAAAAATATTCAGCTTTCCTGGCTCCATTTGGGCTCAATTTTTGTTTTATCCTAAGGTCGTATTCTGAAACCAAATTAAGAGACTAATTTTGTCATTATTCATGTCAATCGTCTCGGTTTGATTTTTAAGCTTTAACTTTTTTCCCGTAATTTATTTTTTGAGATTTCATCTTACGTGGCTCAAATTTGGTGGTTTTGGTGGCGTTTGTGTTTCACAAAAAATAATTGAATATCATAGTGGTGAAACAAATTGACATTCAACAAAATTTATTTACAACCTGAAGAAAATTCATGTTACCAGGAAAAGGCCAGTCTTTTTCTACAATTTCATAATTTTCTACAGGTTTAATTTTAATATTATCAATGGCAGGTTTCAATGCCAAATAAACGAATCAATATCAGTAATGTTGTTCCCAAATGACACTTTGATCTGCAGTTCTATTTAATAATCCTTTAACTCCTGGGCACCCTTGCCATGGCCACATTCGCAATAATCGCGGGTGCCCCGGATGTAGTTGGAGGATTTTTAAAGACAACTACAGATCAATCAGTGTCGTTTGGGAATGACATTACTGACATTGATTCGATCATCTGGCGTTAAAAGCTACCGGTAACAATATTCCAATTAAACGTGTACATTACGAAATTGTTCGAAAAGACTGGCTCATTCTTTAGTATATGAAGCCTTTTCTTAGTAACATGAATTTTATTCAGGTTATTTGAAGAAAAAGTAATAACTCTAAATTAGTAGTCAGTGCCTTATCAACACCATCATCTGATGATGATGAGGTGATGGCGTTTCAGTCCAACTACTCAAAGCAGGAGGAAATCCTGTGGTAAAAGTGCTTGTGAAACTTTTCAACAAAGTTCTTCATGAAGCTCGAACACCAGAGCAATGGAAGAAATCCCATCGTCACCATCATCTACAAAAAAGGCGACATTGCAAAACTTAGCAATTATCGGCCGATTAGCTTGCTCTGTCAGATTTATAAACTTTTTACAAAGATTTTGACCATCTGGCTTACCAGTGAACTTGACGAAGCGCAGCCTATTGAGCAGGCTGGCTTTCGGAGCGGCTTCTCAACCATCGACCATATCAACACGGTTAATCAGGTGATGGGGAAATGTCTCGAATTTAACCGGCCCCTTGTCATGGCCTTCGTCGATTATGAGAAGGCCTTTGACAGTATCAAACATTGGGCCGTGTTCCACGCACTTCATCGCTGCCACATCAATTCCCGCTACAGCCACTCTACAGGTACGAGTTCACGATTTAACCAATCCCGTTCCAATTCGGCGAGGATTTGAGGATGTCGTAAAACCCTTAAATGGGATAACCGTGGCATTAACATCAATGGTGTAACACCATTTGTCTCACCTAAGATTTGCGGACGATCTCGTGCTATTTTCAAGTTTCGACGACCTCCAAAGGATGCTGGAACAACTATATGATGCTTCTTTGAGAGTTGGCCTAAGGATGAATATATCCAAGACGAAGATTATGGCGAATTTCTTCAATCCGTCAAACCACTGTCACGGTAGGAAATGAGAGGCTGAAGAGAGTCTATCAGAACGTCTGTCTCGGACATCTTCTGTCCTTTGGTAAAGAGCATCAGCCTAAAGAGATCTCAAAAAGAATTCAGCTGGGATGGGCTGCGTTTAGCAAGTTAGGTGACATCCTTAAATCAGGTACGGTTCCACTGTGTCTGAAGACCCGCTTGTTTAATCAAAGTGTTCTGCCCACCATGACGTATGGTGACGACACGTGGACGTTCACGCAGGAGACTGTATACAGGTTGATAGTTGCACAGAGGGCCATGGAGCGCGCCATGCTCGGCATCAGCCTTGTAGACCGAGTTCTGAACGTTAAGATCCGACGATGGACGAAAGTCCAGGATGCTGGAGCTCGGATAATGGAACTCAAACGGGGATGGGCGGGACAACTAGCTAGGCAAGGTGATGACAGGTGGAGCAAGACATCTACTGATGGGGCAAAAGATGCGTCGGGCGCCCTGTTGTTGGTGAGTCGACGACATAGTACGCGTCGCGGGGCCTCAATGGATGCGACTAGCACGGGACCGTGATGGATGGCACAAACTTCGGGAGGCCTATACCCAGCAGTGGATGAAATCAGGCTGTGAATGATGATGATACCTTATCAAGCCTCAATGTCCGGACAAACATACCGTATGTCCTCATGGTAAACATTTGGGTTTCTACAACTTATCTTTAGGAAACATTCGTAGAGATGGCGTTGTGTATCATAGTTCTTCAACTGCCAATTAAAGCAACAATGAACTCATTCCCTAAAATCCAGGGAAGTACTGCCACCTTACCTATTTCTGCCGCCAAGCAGTAATGTTAGCATAGTCAGGTTTGGAAGGGTAAGGGTGCTGGTGAAGTTACAGGCACATGGGACTTGCCAACTTACGTCTCAGGGTGACCGGCACAGTGGCAGTGCTCCTTAGATCTTTGCTTATTTAAAGCTCTGAGTGGCACTGCCACTGTTATGGACAGGCGTGTAGCTTACCATCAGGCGCTTGACTCGTTCGTCCCGTCACATGATATTAAAAAGAAAAAGCAGAAGAAAATTCCAACTGTGCGTCGTTTTAAAGGGGCAAAGAAATTTTTATCACAATTAAATTTAAAGAAACAATTAAATTTACTTAATAGTCTTTGTTTTTATATATATTCCAACTTTGGTGGCAGTATTCAATTCTGGTGCAACCGATAAGCGTTTTGGTGGCGTTTCTAAGTATTGGTGGCGAGAAAAAATTTTAATTGCTTATATCTCTGAAATGGTTATGTCCCGGTCACGTATATATAAATGAAATGTTTCATTTTATTGCAAACGAGTTTCGGATACTGGAAAATCTAAAAAAAAATTGCGCCACCAAAATCTACAATAAAATGCATTTGTATATATTATAGATATTCACCCAAATATTTAGATATAAGAGGATTTTGAAAATTATTAATATTCTAGGGATTTAATGCACTTTTCCAGTGTATGGTTGACATGGTCTATGCCTCCCAGAGTGAGGCCGGCACCGATTATTGATCTCAAATTATATAGAAAGCGTTATTAATTAGGTATTTTATTACCTTTCCAAAACTGTGTCATAAAAATCGTAGGTACCACGTTTCGTCACAAGATCGTAAACAAATTTGTTAATTAAATACATTAGCAATAGTCGAATATGGACAAAAGCAAGTGAAGAAAACATCTTGAGTAAACCATGCACGAAGACGCGTTTAAAGCGAATACTCGCGAGGACATTTGGGCTTCAGAAAAGCCTCGATGTTCTTCTCGGAAGTGAGCAGCTTCTTCGGCAGGCTGATACAGCGCGAGTTTGAGAAGCATGCGCCAGCTGAAGCCTTTCTAAACACCAGCGATTCCAGTCTGAGAGCACGACATTCATCGTCACTCACACCGTTCAATACGTACGATCTTTTGCGCACAAGCGGCTGTTCCTGTTTGCAGTTTTGGTGATATTTTGAATTTACGTTATGCGAATACGGTATGTAGTTGTCCGATTTGTCGCGGTGGAACCTCCTCCCTATTGAAAGCCTACTGCAAGTTCTTTCATTAATATCGTGCATAGGAGGGTGCTCTTTATGCATCACGCAAAGCTGTTTGGCTACGTCATCACTGATTCCTTCATTGTAGAGCATCTTCCTCTTAGCGTCGCATACCGACCGGCGATAACATTTAGTGGGTTCAGTGTTACCACAAGAAGATTGATTGTCGACGTAAGAATTAGTTAATTTATGGTCCAACCAAGCCTTTGCAAAGCAAGTGAGGTTTTCGTAATTATCGCATAGTGGCTTTTTTAGAATTGAATTCTGTCGACAAGGTTTGGACGACTGTGGTGTGTTAAGGTTAGTATCCGAAGTTCCCGCTTCTGTGGTGATCAAAGACGGAATCACGCATTTAGAGGAGCCGCACGAGACGTCGTTTAGTCTCGGCGTCATGGTACACTGGTTGCAAAATGTTACAATATTATTGTGAAAAATTACTGACCGGCCTAATGCAGGTGATGTATTGGGTCTGTCGGACTTAAAGGCTGCTCCAAGCCCAGCGCTGCCTCTAGCGATGATACAACTTTCGCACCAACAGTTGTTGTCATGTTGCTCATTTACTTGCGAATCATCTACGCTGACGAAACTTGACTGTGTGTTAGTACTCCATTTTACTGTTGGATCTGCATGCGACGGATACACCGAGAACGAGGATTGCTGATTTTTCGAATGGAACGAGTGCAGTTGAGACTTCGATGGCAACGAAGTAATTAGGTAATCTGGATGTATATTTTTTGTCGGTTTACAAAACCTGGAGGTAAAATCTCTGGAAAAAGCTGCGGTGTTATCAGGCGCATTATTGAAATAAGTGTGTCGTGAATAGTCGCGGTGCTCTACGAGCTTTTCGGCGATGCTTTCTCTGGGGTTAGCTAGAGGTAGCGTCGGCTTCACGGACGTGCGGCTGCCGCGTTGCGGCTCGGTATACGCCTCCCAAACGCTTCGTTTGCTACATACCAATTTTTCCGGCTTTTGGGTCATGGTTGTCAACAGATTTAGCTTTCGTCTTATGGAATTTTTTATACATAATTAATAATTATTCATGTCATCTTTGTTTATATTTAAAAAAATTAATTGGCACCGCATTGACACCTTATTCCATCCTCTAAGATTGACACCAAGGATGATTGTCACCCTTAGACTATGGAATTTATTTTTTTTCCATCCTCTAATTGTCTGAGCTAAGGACGTAGACTATGGAAACTAAAGGACATGTTACGTTGACATATATAAATCAGACGTTATATGTATATGATGCATTTCGACGTCGAAAACATAAACATATTATTGTCTTTGTTTAACTATTACGTGCCGTCTTAAGCCAAAAGAGATAGCATTACATTGGTCTGTGTCAAACACGGGAATCGAAAATTCGTAACGTCATTTTAAATGCCAACCGTGGCCATTTCAAGTACATGAGGTACATGATACCGTTGTCAAAGGGAAGTACATCAAATGTCAAAACAAATGTTTTCCAAATGTATTATTGAATTATTCACATGTATTATAATTAAATTGGACAAAAATATTGACAGTGAGAATAATTAGGTATTAATAAAAATGCGACGCTGCAGCATTAAAGGATGCGGCTTTAGAAAAACTGCAAATCAATCGAATGTTACATTGCACAGGCATGTGTTATTTTTTTGTCTATAAATCACACAATAGCCCGAATATTTTATGTAATTAGACTTATTTAAGTAGTTTATTTATAAATCTTGCCAAATTTTGCTTTTGTTACTTTAGATTGCCTGTTTGTTTGTATATTTTGATGATTGTTGTTAACGATTATTTTGAGATAGTGTTGATCTTGTAAGCATACATATTATCGATATTCTGTTATTAAAACAATTCACTATGAGGTTTTTATTGTTTTATTATTATTATTTCAAGTTTTTCTACAAATGAAAAAAGGAAGAAAGAATGGTTGGAAATCATAGGACTGCCGAATATAAACGTTGGATCAAAGACCATCTTCATTTGTTCGCTTCATTTTGAAGAGTCAAATTTTAACAGAACTTTAAATGTAACTAGATTACATGACAACGCTATTCCATCATTAGGTTTATTGGTAAATAATTTTATGTTCAATTTAGATTAAACAAGACTCATTTACTAGCTATTCTCAGTTCCTGAAAACAAAATTATCCACTCGTTTCTGATTTTTCCCAATGACAACTCTAACTATTAAAAATGACTATTTTTTTAAAGCCTGCAATACAATGACAACATACCAACGTATAGACAGCCTATTTGCCTTGCCTTGCCTTGTTCGGTGTCACTCGCCTAGCTGACCGAGTGAAGGCGAGCGCCAACGTGTATAGAGTTCATTCGGCTTATCACAAACCAAAGGCGCTCGACCAATAGCGTTCACACGTTAGTCCGTCCGCATATGAAATGCATACTCGTTTTATAACGGTTAAAGACGTTTGCATGAAAAATAATATTCCTTGAAATTACAAAGACGAAACTTTGCATAAATATTTTACAATAAAAATGGTAAAAAAATGGCATGACAGTTTTTAAAAAATGCGGCGAAATGGGGTAATAAAGTTTGTATGGTAACTTTTTAACACGTGGTGCGATTTGGTTCATACTTGAATATTTTTCATTTGTATAAAAATTGTACGCGGACGAAGTCGTGGGGAAAAGCTAGTACATGATAATTGTTGATTTCCGATAATTGATTTTTGCAACTACTTCCATTATTTCTGTGTTAAAATTGCTTGATAGATTCATTTGCTTAAGAAAGCCCGGGAATTAACGGGAATACTAGAATCCGCAGAAACCTGAATAGACTCGTACTTGACGGTTAGTTAAAAGACGTTATGTAAATATGTACTAAAATGTAGGTTAAAGGCGTACCTCTTAAAGTAATTTTTCTATTTTATTTAGTAAGTACAATTAATACTACGTAATGTTAAATACAAGTAAAGTAGGTATAATTAAGCAAGAATGCGCATGTCGCCAACAAACTGCACAGCAGTTTGGTGACTTTTACTAAATAAGTTACCAGTTGTAATGTTGAAAATAAATTTTTTTTGAAGTTTAAAAATGTGTGTTGACATTTATAATAATATACCACTCGAGATTAAATTATCAGACTTGTGTATGTTTAGGCATACTTTGGTTACAGTAAACTAAAGAAACAAAAATTCAAGCCATACATTTGCATGTCGATAATGACTTATCGATAGATTATGGTACAACACTAAAGAAATCCGCCATTTGTAACTTTCAAATTTTGGTAATATGCACGTTGATTCTGTACTTAGGGCAGCTCCTTTCTTTTATTTTTTTCCATCCTCTAAGAGGTATACACGTTGATTCCGTAGTTAGGGCAGCTCTTTTCTTTTACTTTTTCCATCCTCTAAGGCTAAGGAGCACCCTTAGAGAATGGAAAAAAATGAAGGAAGATAGTCTGGAAAAGTGCGGTTCACAACTGACGATCTGTCAGCGCAAAAAGCAGCGCAGTTTACAATGCAAGCAAGAAAGAAATTATGTGTTTGTGATTTGATTTACTAAGCAGCAGCTAGCAGCAGCAACAAGCAGAGTCTTACTACAATCCCGGTTAGGGATGTCGACTGCAGCGCCACCCTCTCTGCGACCTCACCCAGTATGAAGTTGTTAAACTGACATGATGATTGTAGACAAAGAAAATCATGGGATAATGTCAATATGCTTTTAATCATCTTCATCATCATGTCAGCTGAAAGACATCCACTGCTGAACGTTGACCTCTCCCATAGAACGCCACAACGCTGTCCTGCACCGCTTGCTTCCAGCGGATACCCGCCACCTTCACCAGGTCTTTTGCGTCTCAACTAAGATGAGACTGAAAATCAGCTTAAAATCGTCGAATAACCTCACGCTTACACACTCACACGAACGCACGTACTCTCTCTCTCTCTCTCTCTCTCTCTCTCTCTTAGTTTGGGCTCCAGTCTCCCACAATACTCTAAGCGTATGTAATGATATGTATCTCTACTGTAATGTAAGTAAAGTAAGTATTTTGTTTTATATTGTGGAGATAAATAATAGTAGATTGTACAACAAGTGCAAAAAATGCGTCATTTTACCCGAGACGAGTATATCCAGAGAATATATGTATATGTGAATACTTAAGTCGAGGGTAAAATGGGCTTTATGAACGAGTTAGACACTCTGCTTTTCACTTCGATTGCGAGGAAATTAAACAACAATATTACAAATAAACGATTATTTAATTAAAATGTAATATTACAACAATTTGATGTATTTTTATGCACTAGAGCATAAAATCCTATTTTAAGAACTAGAGCATGAAATCCTATTTTATGCAGCCTACACCCAGCATAAATACGAACTTTAAAAGCATGAAAAATGAAAAGATATATTATTATTATTATTATTCTATATGTATTAAGTTCAATTGTGTATTCATGCTTAATGTTCGGCCGGGTGCAGAGAAACTAAATTTACAACTTGCGTTTAAGTTACGAA